AACAATTGCAAATCAAACTAGGACTAATTTTAAATCTATATCCGCGAATAATTTTTCTTAAACACCAAATTATATGAATACAAAAAAATTATAATGTTTACGATATGTAATATAAAATAAAAGCAGGTACCCGGAGAAAAACATCGATATTTCGGGATCGAAATCTCATATACATGCCGAGGCACGCTTCCGTTGGCGGCAATTTCCTCCATCGCATCTTCCCTTTTCTTTTTCTTTTTCCTCTTGTCTCTTTTTTTCCCGTTCCTCTCTCTTGCTGGTTTATACGCTTCTTGTTTGACTATGACGTACGTTTGGATTCGCGCTCTGGAATAGTATTGTTCCCGGTCTGAGAAATGTTTTTGATGAGGGGTACAGTTCTTTCGCCGATGAAAGAAGTTACAAAATGTTGCATCGAACGGCGAGATTAATTCTTTTCATTCGTCACATTCACGCCGTGCAAAACGCCATTACATGATTTTTTCACATTGCATTTTTACACACAGGAAATGAGATTGGCTAAACATAATTTTTAGATGATTTTGATATATTATAATTGATAAAGTATTGACTTCCTCCCAAAGAGAATCTTAAAATTCCTGATGTCTTAATATACTTTTTACGATACGTTTTTTAAGATACGTTTTATTTCAACTCCTGATAGGACAGAACAGACAATTCTGACAATTAATCAAATGTTTCAAAATGTATAGAATTATTCCCACCTTTTTATTATACGTGAATTGATTCTTTATTTTAATCAGGATTGATTGGAATCATATTTGTGGCTAAAATTTTTGAAACAGTATTCGAAACTTTCCCAAGGAAGTTTTGTGAAAAAAAACTTTAATTTATGAAAATGTTTCTCAAAAACTAAATAATTGCTACAGCTTCTTATTTTTATTATCGATTTGAATGTTAAATACTAGAATTGTCAAGATAGAAAACTGCCGAGTTTTTAAAAAATGACCATTGACATTTATAAAATTTTAGTAAAATACTCGAAATTTAAATAATTGGCAGATTTATATAATGTTGTTTTATAACATTATCAACTCTGATTTTATTCTAAAGTTATACATATATATATATATATATTCCTGTGTTATATATATAGGTATTATATAAATGCAAAGATTAAAATTTTAACATGATAAAAATAAATAATTATCAATGCGGTTTAATTTTATCACATTATCCTGTTTTATTAAACTGTTCGAAAAATTTGCTTTTCTCGTAGACGATCGTTATAACATTTTGTCTGACAACTTGGTTTCGCGTCTATCTCCGGAGGCGATTTACGGAGTAAACTCCGTAGCTCTCTCCGTCGTTCGTGTTGTCGGATTTTCTCCAAAAGTTCTCGCGGCGATACTCGGGATGAGGGATTCTTAACGATTTTGCTGGATCAGAAGACGTCGACGAATTTAATGTCGGGATCTTTCGTCGCAGAGCAGTGCTACATACGTGCCGGATTGCAAAACCAAGGGAAAGCATTTTTGCGTATCGTCTTGCAACAATTTGTTTGCATTTTATTGCAGTTCTATGCAGCCATCTTTCGCTTTTTCTTTACGAGAACTTTCTTCGCTGCCGGATGCCGATCTATTAAATTAAAATAGATCCGAAAGTAACACGAATTTGCATTTTCCAGCGTTTCGATCTGGCAACATTCGTTGTATACATCGCGCGCGCGACATAAATATATATTGTGTAGAGCGAATAGCGAGAGCAAAAATTACGGATATGCGAACAGATATTGGCAATTATATGTGAAGTGTCTACAGCTGCCAATTACAAGAATAACTTCTCAATCGAATCATTATATTATCTCACTTTTTGCTAGCAATTTTAAGCGCAATGTTGATTGGAATAATGTCGATAGTATATTTTTGTTAATGTAATAAAATAGTACGCAATGTATACGTTATTTATAAAATACATTCAGTTTTACCTAGTAAAACATAATTCAAATCGTATATTTTAATATTTATTTATGGAATTTACGGGCTCACGTGCGCGACGCGCGCGCGCACACACACACATTGTACAGAATTTATATAAATGTCTATTATTATTAAAGCAAATGACTCTGTGAAGATTTGGCTATTAATTTAAAGCAATTGGTGTAATTAATTAGAAGTGTAATTGTGAGTGGTTTACTAATATATAGCAAATTACAAGTGTATAATTATTTTATCAAAAACTACATGTAATTATCTCTAATTAAATTAAGCTGGAATGAATGTACACACACATTTCAGAATGCACATTTGCGCGAGAACGGTTTATTTTTTGAGTGAATTAAATATTTTGGCATACATTGTTTACATATATTTTGCGTCGTTTCAAAATATGTTTTATGATACGCGCAGCGCGAATCATTGCAGTAAATGGCACAAGCTATGGAAAGAAAAATTTATTTGCACGAATTAGTTTGTAAAATCGTTAATCCATGGAACACACGCTTCTCGTTTAAACTCGCGATCCTCCTAACGACGAGCTTCTCTGTCTTTTTTCCGTCGTTTGTTTCGATTTATTCATTGTTGCAGCTGTGCAACAACATCTTCGGACGCCCAAAGAGTATTGTACTGCAATTGTTTCTATCTTGTGTTTCGTTATTATTGTCGTTTCTGTTTCCTTCCTTTTCAATCTGAGGCGCATTTGCATGTAAACGAGTCTCGTCTGTTTTGTAGAATGCTTTTAGAAAAGACGTTGCGACCAGATAGTACAAAGAATAGCGTAAAAGTATGCGATTCATTCGTAAAAATATTTTGTTAAACTCTTAATCACATATCACATGTGGCTTCTCTCTTTTCGAACATTTACGATTTTGTAATCAAATGTGCGCTTGTATGTGCATGTATATATTTCAGTGTATTCATTATATTATTAAAGTATAATATTTCATTGTAATTACTTTTATTTTTTAAAGTTTTTACGATGTTATTTTTACCAAATCCTCGTGTTTTTTTCTAATTCTTTTCTAGCCAAAATAATGTCTGAAGTTTGATGTTTTAATTGACTAAAATTTCTGTGAAATAGAAAGATTAAACGTTTAATCTATTTTATTTTTCTCTATACGTAACATGTTTTATATATTATTACTGCGAAAATATTTTTGATATCGTAGCATATATTTCATGAAGCCGTTCTCTCTCTCTCTCTCTCTCTCTCTCTGTCTTTCTCTTTTTTTTATCTCTCTCTATAAAGATATATCAACTATGCGTTGAGATAACGCGGCCGAAATTAAACTGGGAACAATGTTGCAAGCCGCGAAATAGCATCAAAAGCTAATACATTTTTAATGTTTTGCATCGTGCATTGTCATTTTGCATACAAATTTTTGCTTTATTTCAAAGCTATGCGTGAAAGATTATTCGCTAGCGATTAATGATGAGGCGCAATTTGAGATTCTTTATGAAAGATCGATGAAGTGAAGAAGATTGCTAACGCCGTTGTGTGATTTGCATATTCGAAATATGTTGTATGCATATGCAGCAGGATCAAATGCACTCTTGTTTCCGCGATGTATGTCATACTGCTCCGCCCTCGCGTTTTTCGCATTTGCAATCCAACCTATTAAATTGCATGGACGCGGATGGAGAAGAGAGAAAGAGAGAGAGAAAGAGTATATTCTTTGCTTTTGTATACTTTGTTAATATTAGAGCTTTGCTTTATTTTTTATGAATATTTAATGCTTGATGAGCAATAATCAACTTTCAAATGCAATTTGTGATTTTTGGAATTTATCAAAATTATTAGTGATTAAATGAGTATTATTAAGTAAGAATAAAAATAATATTATTTGGAATAAAAATAATTATATACATACTATACATATATATGTATACTATTATACTAGTACTGGATGTACATATCCGCGCACCTATTATAATTGCTTGTTATCGTCGTTATTGTAATTGATGACAATTTTAACGACTTTTCAAAGCATACTTGTCTTCAGCGATGAGTAAACATGTGAAAAATTTAGAGTATTAAGTAAATATTTAAGAATAATTTTGTTTCAATCAAATATACATAAAATATAAATATAATATAAAATACAAATTTATAATATATACTACATAAAAAAGATATTGAATCATAAAAAACATAGAAAATCTTTATTTCAAATGCTATAATCGAAATTATTAATTGAAATAAAAGTGAGAATTACCAGAGAAAAATTTGTATTTCATATTATACTTAAAATTTGGGGGAGGAGGAGAGAGAGAGAGAGAAAGAGAGAGAGAGAAATAATTACTTCAATTGATTACTTAAACTCTTTAATGAGAAATATACAGGGTGTCTGATAATAATCGTCCTACCTGTAATGTGCAGGTAGAGCGGGTTAAACTGAGCAGGAAAGTCTTGTATCATTTTGCGATTTTTATAATAACTTTTGAGAAATTTATTAATAAAGATCGACCAATTCGCGCGAGTATAAGCGCGCAGCGAGAAGAGACAACCCAAAAGTAGGCGCGCGACAAAATTTTGGGAGGAGCGCTTTACAAATGACAACAGTTATGTACGAGCGGTATTGTATAACGATGGATTCTCGCGTCTTAACAACCACATATTAATGCCGCCCATACAGGCCGTCCTTTCTCACCGCGCGATAATACTCGCGCGATTTGGCCGATCTTTTTTAATTAATTTCTCATTAATTATTGCGAAAAGCGCAAAACAGTACAGGACTTTCCTACTCGGTTTAACCCGCTCTACCTATATATTACGGGTGGGGCTATTATTATCAGACACCCTATATATACACATAAACATTTTGCTTGCCTCATGTAACTGATATTAATATTTTGTTGTATTATTACTTCTAGTTGTGAATATTTCCTCTCTTTTTTTTTACTCTTTGATAGTTTTATTCTGAATAATAAAAGCGCAAGAGAAAAATGAAACCTCTATTCATATTAACATTCATACACCCCGAGAGCACATAATCAAGGTATGTTAAATGCCGATATATCTTCCGCGTTTCTTCATAATGACAGGGGAAACGGAGAAGGAAAAGCAAAGATGGAGAAACACTGGGAGTAACCGAAAGTGGATAGGATGAAGGATATACGACGAAGAGGCGAGTGTAGGAGTTGATTTTCAATACTGTTGATGTTCAATCTTCAATCCTCAAGCATACGATATCGATACCAGGTAAACAAAAACAGAGATTTGTGGGAGTTTGATGATAGGGTTGCAGAAGAGAAGAGAAGGAAAGGAGAAGGGTAGGAAACTAGGCAGTTAGTGGGAGAATTGTCAGGTGAGGTACTAGTCATACTAGTGATGGTGTTGTCGGCGGGACAAGGGGAGAAGTAGAAAGAGAGAGAATGTGTGTGTGTGTGTGTGTGTGTGTGTGTGTGTGTATGTGTGTGTGTGGGTGCGAACGCCAGCCAACGGTGAAGAGTTGTCGACAACTGGAGGAGAGAATATGCCAGACACGTTTCCTCTTGGTACCACATCCACGCAGCCTGTTTCTAGATAAATGTACAGAGTGTCGTGATATGAAAGCAGCGGTGCGGAGAGGGGGGTTGTTTTGCTTCGCGTAGATTTTTCTTCGGAAACTCGGAAGTATATAGTGGCCGTATAGAAGGGGGAGGGCAAAAGAGAGGGAAGAGACTACCAGTGACGCCAAACTAAACTTTCGACTGCGGAATTTGTTGCCGTATAAAGGGATTTTTCTTTAAGGAGTTAGACAACTCTCACAGACACGGTTCGAAAGATCTGGTCAATTTTCAATTATATATATATATATATATATAATATTCCTTTGTCAAAAGTACATATAATATACATACATTATATGTATGTGTGTGTATGTGTATCATTATTATACTATAATATTTATATATATTATATATATAGCTGTAATTGGAGGATAATTGAAATTAAAGTTTAAATTGGATGATATTAATAATTTGGGATGCGAAAATATAAGAGGCGCAAAATAGAAATAAGATGAAGAAGTGTATTTTTTATAAGAGACACTTATAAGGTTTTAAAGTATGTATGTTTTTGGACGAAAGCAATTTTTTTACAGTTCATCAAAATCAATTAGATGTTACAACTTTTGTTCTCCAGTTTTCAGTTGCTTCACTAACAAGAATTTAATCCTAGTCTGTCATCTTGCAAAATTTTATCCAATTTCAAAATCTGTTCCGCGCGCGACGGCTTGCTATTTTACAAACTCATTATCGACAAATTACCAGAGTGTTACAATGATCTGCTTCAATTTAGTTCGCGGTTGAAGGAAAAAAATGAGGAATATGTCGACATACAAAAGAAAAAGAGAAAGAGAGAGCTGGCGCCAGCTGAACGGTTTGTGTTATCGTTCTCATATTTTCCTGGGATTTCATTGTTCGAGCTTTGACTCATCGAAAACGGACAAAATTTCGCCGGCGTGTTCTCGTGATTTGTTACGCCGATTCAGAACTGACAAATGAAAAAATGTTACGCGAAACATATGTATATATAGTAAGAAAAGTATGCGCAAAAAAGGATATATCGAGACGAATTCGAGCTAACACATGTAATGGTTTAAGAGGAAATAATAAAAAAAATATTGAGGTGTCACAATTTTTCGACGAACGACAAAAATAAAGAAAATTCTAGAATTTCTTTTATCTATATTTATATATCGACATACGACATGTTAAATATAATTTTTGAATTGAGAGTCAGTATACTTTTATTCTTTTACAATTGTGAAAACGAAGGATATATAGGTATATATTTATATATAAATATAATAAGACGTTTGTTCTCTCTTTCATCTGTAAAATTATAGAGAATATTCTAATCTAATATTATACATATTGTAATATTAAAAGCATTATAAAAGTGAGAAATTAATAATTTCATAGCGAGATTTTTTTCAACTCTCGGCACACACAGTTGGGAGAAAAAAGTTTTTATACAAAATAGTAAATAATTGGCGATTGAACGATTTAGTCCTACCTTTCTCCTTTTCTCAATTCATCTATGTTTAAATTATCTACACAATTTCGGAAAGAACGACAGAATTTGCTGAGCACAATGAAAGATTACACCGCGTAAGATCAGAGAGCGTTTTAACGAGAAAGCGATCGCTGAATCGATCCCTGTCTAATCGCATTTGAAGTTGTAAGGCTTTATAAGCCTCCTTTGAAAAGCAATGTAAGTTTTGTCGCAGCACGAGTCTAATCGTGATGCACGGATAGTTATCGGATTACCGTAAAAATATCGCTTTTAATTAGGGCTTCACTCATGTTTTTTTCTCAACTTTTTCAACACGGTAAGCCGTCTAATATTATATTTCTTCTTTCTTCTTTTCTATTTTTTTTTCAATATTTTCTTTCGTATCTATACCGCCATTTGTATTACATTATACTAGGCTCCGTAGATAAATATTTATTCTAGTCTGCGTTTAGAAACGTGCATTATAGTAATAAAACCCGTAGCGAAATAACGCGTCACTTTGTCATTAATTTCTCTATGATTTATTTATCATTGCGTGTGATAAGGACGCTCCGCGAATCGAAACAAGGTGCATTATGCAACTGTATCGAATTGTACTAAATTATTCGGCGTTACATGTGTAACAGGATTGAATCCGGACATTGGGGCCGCGTAATATCGAAATATCTCTCTATAATGATGGGTTGTAGTAGGTTGCGATTCCACGATTTTCGATAGTGAGACGAATCAAACCGCTATAACATTACAGCATTTGTTATCTACGGGATTTAAGCGTGAGGAATGAGTAGCCACTCATGATGAGAGAGCGATAAATTGATACGAACGGCATCGACGGTAACGGCGATCGTTATCAATGTTTAAATCGATTTTAATAGCGCAATCGACAAAAACCGTGAGACTGTACCTCATCAATTCTTTTCAAAAAGTGATTTTAAATATAGTTATAAATATAATTATTAATGCACTACACAAATCAATACCGTAAAAATATTTTTCTCTCACACATTATAATTTACCATTAAAATAATTTAGCTACAATACATGCATGTATTTATGTTACACATACGAATACGTACACGCGCGTAAACACTGAAAATAAATTTTTAAATAAATAATAAATTCTCATACATATTTTCTTTTTCATTTCCTGAGAAAGGAAAATTTCATATTCTTTTTTTACATATTACAGCTTTATTATTTTATTATTGATTCTTTGGTCGTTCGGCTATTAAATACATATGAGAATGTTATGGGAGAATTATCTTTTGAATTTGTCGCAAAATTTCCTAGATAGAAACATTATCGATTCGCGCAATGATAAATTTAAATCAAACTAAATTAAATGAATGAAAGACGAATGCATAAGCAATAATGCAACAGTTCTGTCTAAATCGAAAAACTCGTCGTCCATAAAATATATAATCACGTCTGGTGCTGCCCGGTCAACGACACGTCGGGATATGGAGCCAAGAAGGAAGAAATGTATTACGCGCGCGCATAACAAGCAGGGTCAAGTGAAGGATCTTGGAGTTCGACGATTCCGACCAATCGTATCTGGCCGTGAGCACGGATATATATCTACTCCGGCGGAATAAATTCTCGGGAAATATTTGTCGAACTCTCTCTGCCGTGCTTCGTGAAATATCCGTCTTAGAAAGGAAATAAGTCTCCGAGTATACCGTATCTGAGCCCTTGAATAAAGCTTAAAGCTTTTCCTTTTGATGCCTATCGTACGAGAGAGGGAGGCAGGGAGGAAGCAACGCTCGAATTGACACTTGGTCTATGCGAGCGTTTCGTTAAAAATTCTCGTCATCTACGATATAAATGATGATTATGATTAATTTCCTATTAATCGGATTCAAACGTAAGTATAGATAATTGTTTACATATTTTTGTAAAGATTTTGAGAAATTATTAAAATTATTAATTATGAGAAGTTTGTTTGTAAATAATCATGCATCACTCACATCCTGTTGCATGAAAGGTGCGGACGTAGGTAAAATGAAGAGATGCGAGAGTTAGTATATTACGTAAATTTATATCAATCTTTCATTAATCTTTAAGAGGATGCCGGATACCGACAGAATGCGAATATTAGTAGGATTGCAAAATATTTTTGTTGATTATAGATATCAACAAATCCTTTTCCATAATTAAAGTATATATAATAACGCAAAACCCTTATATTAAGCAAATATATAATTATTATGGCAGGTAAAACAGGACGGTCCGGCATCCTCTTAATATCATAGCTAGTATAATTTCCTCAGCAAAATTGGTTGCTCTTCAATGCGATGTAATTTTTTTCCCGTTAGCGACGCTAACGATAAGGAAAGCTATATTAAGATATCCAAAGAGGAGGCGCTTCCAGCGACTTGATAGCGACAAGCTCGGGTATCATCGAAAGGGCGCTTTGTAGAGAATGATTTTCTTTCGCGTAAAAAGAGTATATTTACGAGAGGTGTTAACAGTAGCTTACGCGCGGTATAGGGAATGCATAATCTTGCATTTATCGTGGCAATGCTCATGACGACGATGGCAGCCGCGATTATTTATCGCATTATCGAAATTGCAGTAAGAAAACGATAAGAGAAAGATATGTTTACTTGCATCTCGTATCCAGATATCTAGAATAAAAGAGGGTGTACGCGCGACGCGCGCTGCAAAACCTATCTCGTCCATCTTCACGCGAGAATTACAATACATATATCGGAATACGCATCGCGGACCGACGGAAGTGGGGTTTCTTTTCACCTCTCGGTATCGATTAATCGGTCGCTAGCAAGCACGTAGTTGCATTTTTCTGCACGGAAAAGCGCGAGCCGCAGGATATTAAGTCGGCCTTGCGTGTACGTTCGCTTTCTTTATGGGCATCTGAAAGAAAAGGGACTACGCTCTCGAGATTGGAAAACATGGAAATTTATTATTTCGATATTTAGAGCGCGACAAAAGGGAATTGAATTTCCCCGCTCTTTTCTACTAGCTCGTTTTTTTTTTTTATAGCGCCAATTTGCATATATTTTCAAGCGATTATGATGGATATCTATTTGATGGCGTGTCAGAAACGTCTCTCGGGACAAAAAATAATTTAATGTTGAAAAAAAAAAATTCTGTAAATGTGTATGCGTGTAAGTCTTGAAATGGATAAATGTTTTAGTTGGAAAGTTGAAAAAAAAGCTGCGGGAAAAGGGGTTCTCAAA